TTTTTTTTTCAATTCTTTGATGAATAGAAAGTTCATAAGAGCAGCATTTATTTGAAATGGAAATATTTTGCAACATTATAAATGTCTTTACTGACACTTTTGGTCAATTTAATGCATTCTTGCTGAATACAAGTATGCATTTCTTAAAAAAATAACAAATCTTTGAAAAGGGTATATATAGAATATGGATACACACACACACACACACACACACACACACTTTTAAGTGTTGGTTTCTTTAAGCATCGAGCATTTCAGATCAGTGGGCAGTGGAGTTTCTTCATCTGGAGAAGCTGTATCATGAAAGACTGCTGTCTAATCTGGCCTCCATACAAGAGAAATGGGGTAAGGATGCCAGATGATTATGGATAATAATATGAAAAAATACTTCCTGAAATAACTTTTTAACCAGGGGAGGTTACATTGTTTACATGTGAGGGAATTTCCTGAAGCATTGTTTTATCTGGTAAGGATGAGACTCCTTTTGTAAATAGGACAAATGCTAGTTTCATCCTTCATAACTAAACAGAAGTGGAATGGTTTGAGCTCAGGAAATTGCTCATTTCCTAACTGCACTTCATTGCCCAGACCACATGTGACTCTGTTATTTAACCAGTATCACTGAAGTACAGAGGTCAGACTCTCCCTTCTTATCTGATTAACTGGCAACAAGACCTGACTGTGGACTGTAGCTTTTTTGGTACGAAATATTAGGAACTGAGAATAGCATGCATGTTTTTAGATTGCTTTCACATATTCTATGAGTAGGTAAATGCATGGGAGACTATGAGACACAGTCAAAATGATTCAAAGACTCAAATCCATATGTTTGGTTTCAGAGTCCCAGAGGACAATCAGCGTCCAAACTGAAAGTAACCCGAATGGAACTGACAGAGAGAGAGAGCATATGGAACTGTTGAGTCATATCTGCAAAACACACCAGAGGTGAGACTGTGTGCAGACAAGGACTGTCCAAGCAAGTAGAAAATAATAATAATAGCATTTTATTTCCTTCCCTAAAATATTTATTCCTGACAAAACCAGGCCTCATCAAGCCCCATCAATTTAAACAGATTTATAGGGGAAACATAAAAAAATTAGATGTATGTACTTTTCCTTATTTTCACGTTTTACTTTACTTCATTTTTTACTTTATATATATATATACATACATACATACATACACACACACACATATGCATACTTACACAAATTAAACATTTAGATGTGCATATTATATTACATAGAAAATTGAATTCTACTTCTCCTTTTTCAGACCTAACCTCTCTTTGGAAAAGGTAAAACATTACACTTGTTTTATTAGCCACCTATGCAGTTTATGTTTTTGTGAGTCTGATTAAAGCCTTCTGTTATTGCAGAACATGGACGACATAAGACTTCACAACAGCCCAACCCTTGTGTCAGAACACAGAAGATCAAAATCAGAACAAGCTTCAGTGAACTCAACCGAGAGAGAAACCCGGGCAGATGACTGCTCATGGCTGGGAGCTGAACAGGAGCCAGAAGAGGACTGTGAATTGAATGAGGAGGAGGAAGAGGACGAGGAAGGTCTTGAGGAGGATGAGTGCTGGAATGAGGAGCTGCAGGATGACACAGTCGTTGATGGCCAGGTTCCTGTGGATGAGCTGGCCAACCATATTCAGGTAGAACAGTTAAGACGCTGTAGGAGTAATTTTAATCTCTTACATATTACCATCTGCCCTTAGAAAAAATAAGCATGCTGAGACACCATCCGTCTGCTGCAGTCTTTCCAAACCATCCGCTTACTGAACGATTTGTATTCCTCAGGGCCTAAATATGCAATGTATTAATCTTGGTCCTCAAATTGAATTTTTATGACTTTGTAAAATGTCTAATGGGACTTTCTTCCAATTCTCAGGCCACATTTCTTAGCCACAGGGTTTCATGAAGGCAAAATAGTGTGATGTCATCCTCAGCGTTATGGCAGCCAGCTGCAGGAATTTTATAAAGAAGCGTTCAGGGAGTGTATGGTTTCTCAAAGCTATTGGGTGTGGTTGTCTTAAATAGCACTCCCAACTGCATAAACCTTCTCCAGAACTGTGTCAAAGTTACTGACTTTTTCAATCAACAAACACAACAACTGAATGATGATTACATTATTTGTTTGTTTGTTAAACTCAATTATTTTATACAGATTTGAAGCTATTTTGTTTTGGCCTCTAATTTGACTTGGACTGATTTGACACACCACAACAACAACAACAACAACAAAACTAATTTTCACATCATGATATACTATGAGGCATATTAGAAAAACAAACATAATGAATGACTTTAAAGAAAAGCATTCCAAATCTGTATGACTGACTTTCTTCTGTGGAACACAAAAGAAAATATAAAAAAAAAAAAACCTTTCAGCTATTTTTGTCAATACAATGAAAGTCAGCTGGGTCCAAAACAAAACACCTCTGTGAGGATGAAAAAAAACACACGGATACATTTGACAAAATATTTTATTTTGTGTTCTACAGAAGAAAGTAGATAATACAAGTAGATTTTGAATAAGCAAATGATAACGGAATATTTATTTTAGGTGAACTATCCCTTGTGAAAAAGAAGTGCGCTGAAATGAATTGAATTTGCATTTGTAGTGTGCTTCAAATCTTAAAAGTATATTTAAAAAAAAAAATGAAATAAACACTTTCTTAACACACTTAAGTACACCTTTAAAAGGTGCACTTAGTAAAGTTTTAATACTTTTTTGGCATGCTTTATGTAAGTACACTTGTTATAATTGTAGAAATAATTATGAAATTACATATAACGATGTACTTAAGTACCACTTAAGTGGGTTAAAAAAGCACTGTTAAATTCAAATACATTTAATATAAATTTTAAGTAGTACATTTTCATTTAATTGTAAATAACATGCACTCATGTGTCTAGAAATATACCATTTAGTTCGCACTTAAGTATATTCTTTAGGATAATTTCCATAAGAAGTACTCTTTTTAAAAGTGTACTACGTTTTCCCAAGTATCCCTTTAAAGTCTGATCCCAATAATGTAGTTCAGTTCATTATGATATTGCACATGCTGACCCCTATTGGTTATTGATTGTTATTACATAATTTGCCATGTACATGCTTCTTAAAAATAATTTATGCATCAAATTTGATTAATTTCATACTTTATTTCTGATATTTCTGTAGAGATTTTCCTCAAATGGCTTAGTCTCCATTTTAAAGAAGAGAGTCTACGAGAATGGCTTGCCACTAAAAGACTCAACCATATGCAGAGTCCGCTTTAGAGAGCCAGATGATACTTCCGATCAAGGTATGATTGTAAACAAATATTCACGCAGGGCCTTTAAGTATTCACATTTCTGTTCTGCATTAATATGAGACTGATCAAAGCTCATCTTTCTCATGCATACAGATGAGTCGGCCAGAAACTCTTGCCTCATCCTTCTCATCTTGTGTCTGGTTACCGTGGTGATTAGCATGTGTGGGACTGCTCTTTATTGTCTCGTTGGAGAGGCGTACTCAAATGTGTGTGTCGACTTCTCACAAAACGTGGACTTTTACTTTGGACCTTTACGACGAGGAGTGGACGCTCTCGCACAGTGGCTCTCTTCTGATGGATCATAGCAGCTATTTAATGCTAGCTTAACTGGAACTCTTTCTTTATATTATCATTTCTGATGATAAACAATAGTTTTTCTCTTGAGATAATATGCACTAATGCACATTACCAGACTGGCCTTAATAAATACTGCTTTAGTGAGTCTATACAAATTACACAGGGCTTCCTAATGCATAAATTAATTTGTATAAAATATTTAATATTGGTACAAAAACCTGAATATTACAGATAATCCTAATATACCACTTATTACAGATAGTTTTAATATACCACTGCCATTCTTCGAATCAGTAACTGTAACATTGAAATAACTGCTTTTGGAGCCAGTAATTTTGTTTTTTGTACATTTTAGTACTCCAAGACACTACATGCCACAATTATCTTTGTATTTATGTTTTTATTTTGACTTGGCACATTTCTTTGGCGCTATAATCACTGAAATTCATACAGTATGAACAAAAATAAGCATAAATTGGTGGATGTTAAAGGAATAGTTCACTCAAAAATACTTCATCAGAATAGATTTGGAGAAATGTATCATTACTTCACTTGCTTACAGATGGATCCTCTGCAGTGAATGGGAGCTGGCAAAATAAGAGTCTGAACAGCTGGTAAAAAAAAAAAAACATCACAGTAATTCATAAGTAATTCACATGACTCCAATCCATCAATTAACATCTTGTGAAATGAAAAGCTGTAAAGTGAAATGATAACAAATTTGAAACAACACATATTAACCAAGAAAGCAATTTTATGGATAGAGGACTCAAATTTTAAGCAACTGTTTGAAGTTAAAAACGTCTTGATGAATTTGTTTCTTACAAACACGCAGCTTTTCACTTCGCTAGACATTAATTGATGGACTGGAGATGATCATTCACTGCAGAGGATCCACTGGTGAGCAAATGATGTAATGCTACATTTCTCCAAATCTATTCTGATGAAGAGACAAACTCATGTAAATTTTGGATGGCCTGAGAGCGAGTCGATTTTCAGTAAGTTTACATTTTTGGGTGCATTATTGCTTTAACTATGGGATATTAACTTACCAAATGGTTTTATAATTGACATAGCACATTAAAAGGCTGAATAGTAGAATAATGATGATTGATCGTTCTGACTTGATTATGTCAGATCAGTGTTGCTCCAGCACTTCTTTTATGGACAGCAGATATGAACACTTTATAATTGTACAGTATAAAAGACAGCAATCAATCAGTTTTTTTTTACAAATATGATTTGTGTTCAGCAATCAAAGTGAGTGTGAGTTTTTGTGTTATGAATAATAGGGGGAATATTTTAATTTTAAATATTTTAATATGCTCAGAACCAGAACCCTGTTTCGTTATATGTGTTTCTGTTTTTCTTTCCCAAATAGTATACATGATCTCTGAATTATGTCTGGAAATGTGTTTTTTATATATTGAAAGTGGTTTATGGTTTATGCTGTAGCTCTGTCAATAATAGTTTTGGACTGGTCCTCTGAATGGAAGAGAAGATGACGCAGCAGTAAATGGAATCGGCACACATAATAAAACCCATGGTGAAGTAGGAGCATTTCTCTTTGGAAACCCACACACACCCACAGACTGACTCAGCTAATTTCATTTCAGAATCCAATAGCAACTTCTCTAATAATTGAAACTTTAAGATGCACAGAGCAAAAAAATATTATAGTGACACAGGCCTGATTAAGAGGCATTTTCATGATCATTATAGCCTTGCCAAATGAACAATATGCTTGAATTTGAAATGCGACTAAAGCAAAGTAGGCTATGTATTGAAATAATTCATTCATATTGCTTAATTTAATTTTACAATATGTGAATCATCAAAAAAAACTAAAACTTAACAGTTGGGGCCAAAGGTCTGAAATATAATAATTTGTAATAAAAATGTATTCATAAATAGAAAATTGTTTTAAATTGTTGTAAATTGATAAATAGAAGCATTTTCAGAAGTGGTCTGACTATGATTTTTTCAAATCAGTGTTAATTCAGTCACTAACAGGCTGAAATCTTACAATTTATCAACTGACATTCAAATGTAATTTATTGCTATGTATATACATATATTTGCTTTCACATGTTAATGGTCACAAAATATACTTACACACTTTCCAGCACGAGATGTCTCTCTACTTCATTGTGTGACAGTTTCTGGAATTTGCACCCACAAACAGTGGGATTTATGGTTTAGCTACACTTATCAGAAACACAAATGTATCCACTAAACGCCTGTATTTTGCACTGATGCTGTACAGTGACAGCAGAGGAGCCCGCTCTGACCTCGTCTGTGTTTGGATCACAGACACAATGGCGACGCTCACATCGTCAAGCAAAAGACCGTACCGTATCATTATGGGGTGTACTATATGCACTTTTTGCTGATTGCTAAGCAAACTGAGAGGAGAACTAACCTGTATACGCACATAACGTGTATAACGTGCATTTGTAGTTTTCAGCGTTATTGTATTTAACATTGAAGTTCCCATGCCACAAATAATATAAATAATGAATTACAACTGAAATAGAACAGAAAAAATAATAGTAACCGAATAGTAAACATTTACAAGCAGCGCCACAAAACACTTTTTTTTTTTTTTTACATAGCCTAGCCTATACGTTGTACATGTGTATTGCTAGACATAGCCTACGTGTGACTTTGTAGTAACATATTAATAAAATGTATCATGGTACCCTAAAATACCACATGTTTTTCTATAGTGTAAATTATATATATTTTAAATTATATAATTACAATGCACATATGTTATGGATGATAGTTTGTATTAGGTATAGGCCTAGATTGAATTGCCATACTGTCATGGCTAGACATGAGGCAGTGAGCTCATAGTATTAGTTGAGCTTCAGCAGATATTGTCTGGTGAGATTATCAAATGGGATTACAAGGTCTGAGAATATTGTTGATTAAAGGCATAATGTTTGGACAATCCCATCATCATCTGGAATAGGCTGTACAGATAATCAAGGATTTTAAAGCTATCTATCTATCTATCTATCTATCTATCTATGCATTACATAAAATTTAATAATTTGCAGCATTTGAGCTGTTAGAGAAGAGAGATCCATCTGTCTCTGACATTCCATCATTTGTCTGCAGGTAAACCAGAGCTGAAGTGTGTGGAGGTTATTGTAACAGATGCAGCCGAGACAGAGCCATTGGCCATCATGTGCAAACAAGGCGTCATTGTGCTCAACTGCGTGGGACCAGTAAGTCCACAAAGAGTGTAAGACTATTGTAAAAAAGGCACAGGAAGGGGTCAGTTTACACATCTGTGCATTCACACCTGTCCCAACGCATCCATAGGCCAATGATAGCTCTATGACAAAAAATGATAAATGGAGTTGTGTTATTCTGAGAGAACTGTTGACTGTGAAATGCCATGGTGCTTAGTTGTCTTCTCTCAACAGTACAGATTCTACGGAGAGACCGTGATGAAAGCCTGCATAGAGAATGTGGCCCACTGCATTGATATCTGTGGAGAACCATAGCTAGTTAATGATATTCTTTCAACACAGTTTTCTTGCTCTATAATCTACTTTTTAAAGAGATTCCATTCAAAGGTTTGGGGTCTGTAAGATTTTTTTTTAAGTGTTTGAAAGAAGTCTCTTATGCTCACCAAGGCTGCATTTATTTGGTCAGAAATACAGTAAAACCAGTAATATTGTGAAATATGTTTACAATTTAAAATTCAATTTTAATATGTTTTAACTGTAATTTATTCCTGTGGTGGCAAAGCGGAATTTTCAGCAGTTATTACTCCAGTTTTACGTGTCAAATGATCCTTAAGAAATCATTCTAACATGCTGATTTGGTGCTCAAGAAACATTTCTTATTACTATCAGTTGTGTGCTACTTAATATTTTTGTTAATGCATAGATTCGTTAATGCTTTAAAAGCATTTCTTTGACAAATAAATCTTTTGTAATATTTGAAATGAATTTTGATGTCAATTTAACGCATCCTTGCTAAATAAAAATATTAATTTCTTAAAAAGCCTGACCCAAAATTTTTAAATAGTAACAGATCTTTTGGATTCTTGATTTTTATTTTTTTTAGACGTAACTACCACAGTAAAGCTCAGGAGAATGGTGTATCATTGGAAGCTGTGGGTTTGATTCAATACCAGCAGATATGGGCATCATTTCAAAGGTGGGTTGCATGTCTGTAAAGATGTTTTATTATTATTAAAATAATTTAAAATAATTGATTGTTTAAAAAATTACGTCATAATAATTTATTATTAGTAATATTATATATATGACCATAATAGTTTTGGACTGGTCCTCTGAATGGAAGAGAAGATGACGCAGCAGTAAATGGAATCGGCACACATAATAAAACCCATGGTGAAGTAGGAGCATTTCTCTTTGGAAACCCACACACACCCACAGACTGACTCAGCTAATTTCATTTCAGAATCCAATAGCAACTTCTCTAATAATTGAAACTTTAAGATGCACAGAGCAAAAAAATATTATAGTGACACAGGCCTGATTAAGAGGCATTTTCATGATCATTATAGCCTTGCCAAATGAACAATATGCTTGAATTTGAAATGCGACTAAAGCAAAGTAGGCTATGTATTGAAATAATTCATTCATATTGCTTAATTTAATTTTACAATATGTGAATCATCAAAAAAAACTAAAACTTAACAGTTGGGGCCAAAGGTCTGAAATATAATAATTTGTAATAAAAATGTATTCATAAATAGAAAATTGTTTTAAATTGTTGTAAATTGATAAATAGAAGCATTTTCAGAAGTGGTCTGACTATGATTTTTTCAAATCAGTGTTAATTCAGTCACTAACAGGCTGAAATCTTACAATTTATCAACTGACATTCAAATGTAATTTATTGCTATGTATATACATATATTTGCTTTCACATGTTAATGGTCACAAAATATACTTACACACTTTCCAGCACGAGATGTCTCTCTACTTCATTGTGTGACAGTTTCTGGAATTTGCACCCACAAACAGTGGGATTTATGGTTTAGCTACACTTATCAGAAACACAAATGTATCCACTAAACGCCTGTATTTTGCACTGATGCTGTACAGTGACAGCAGAGGAGCCCGCTCTGACCTCGTCTGTGTTTGGATCACAGACACAATGGCGACGCTCACATCGTCAAGCAAAAGACCGTACCGTATCATTATGGGGTGTACTATATGCACTTTTTGCTGATTGCTAAGCAAACTGAGAGGAGAACTAACCTGTATACGCACATAACGTGTATAACGTGCATTTGTAGTTTTCAGCGTTATTGTATTTAACATTGAAGTTCCCATGCCACAAATAATATAAATAATGAATTACAACTGAAATAGAACAGAAAAAATAATAGTAACCGAATAGTAAACATTTACAAGCAGCGCCACAAAACACTTTTTTTTTTTTTTTACATAGCCTAGCCTATACGTTGTACATGTGTATTGCTAGACATAGCCTACGTGTGACTTTGTAGTAACATATTAATAAAATGTATCAT